TGGGTGAGGAAGGACGAACCTGTGCATGTGGAAGTGGCAGCTCAGAGTCCAGCCCAGCTCTCTGTTCCCTTGCATGATTTTGGCCTATTTCCTTTCAATTTTAGTTGTCCAAAATTAAGGAGACAAGTTCTCCCCCCTTGGCATGTTATTGGCTTCCTCTGAAGTGCTATTTAACTCCCAGTGTTTTGTTCTAAATTACATCATTTTCTCTCCCATCTTAGCTGGAAAAATGCAGGGGGCATCCAAGAAAGCCTCACAAATATTGCAGCAAACCTGTGCTCTCCTGTGGAAAAATGTCCTTCTGGTGTGGAGGATGAAGACAAAAAGTTTCCAGGCAAGTGTCAGCTCCTCCGAAGGGAAATCAGGATTTCTAGTACCAAGTATTTTCCCCGTTGCATTGTTTGTGTGTGAGGGGATGTGAGAAGGCTCAGCTGTGGTTCCCTGGGAAATGTCAGCAGTTCCTTCTTCCGGTGACACTGCAGCTCTGCCTCGTGACAGAGCTGGCTGCTGCCTCTTGCTTGTTGATCCTGCCCTGTGCACAGGAACACAATGTCCAATTCATGGCTCCAGTGTCAAATTATCCACAGGCCTCGCTGGCTCTGGGACCAACACAGCATGTTTTCCATCTGAGGCCTTGCTGGGATGCAAACCCACCACACCTGTGGAACAGCTCTCCCTCGTGCACAGGGAAAGGGATGAGCTGGGCTGGGCAGGGGGGTCAGAGCTGGCTTAGAAGGGTCCTGCAGGAGCCTCCCCAACGCCTCAGAGTGGCTGCCTAAAACAGAGGCAAGATTGAGGGAATAAAAGTGGGCATTTATTGCAGGCCTTCAGTAAATACACCTTGGGCAGTCAGGCCTTCAGTAAATGTACCTTGTGCCTCTGAGGGGTACACCCAAGATGGACAATGGCACGAGTTTTTCAGAAAATTATAAATTTGGTCCATTTACGTATCAGGGGTTAATCGTCCAATTACAGATTCAGATACTCCAAATATTCCCTCCCCCCAGTTCACTGTTATTTATATCTCCCCAGGCCTGTGGCAAGGAGGTGTCTTTGCCAGGCCTGGGGAGAAATTTTTTGTCTGGATAACATGGGAGAACAGCACCTGTGGAGTTTTAGAGTGATACCCTAAAGGAGTGGATCTGAAAAATAGAAAAGCTAAATCCTAAGGCATTAGGATGGGCTCCCCTCACCTTTTCCCTTCCCTTCCCTTCCCTTCCCTTCCCTTCCCTTCCCTTCCCTTCCCTTCCCTTCCCTTCCCTNAAAAAAAGGAAAAAAAAAGGTGACACTTCCTAGAAATCTCTTCCTATTTACCTTTAACTTTTAGTGCAGGCAGCAGGGAGGAATAGTGGGAGGAAGTTTGGGAAGGGAAAGAGTGATAAGATAAGGAAACCCCTGTGACAACACAGAACTTGGATCCCTTGCCCCTGCAATACACAAACATTTAATTATTCCAAAAAACAAGCAGTGAAAGAAACAGAGCAGTGGAACCATTTATTAACTCCAGCTGCC